ACAACGTACTTGCTTCTCGCATCGACAGGGCATTGCGTAAGGCCACAATAGTTTCAAACCAAACCATTAAAATAAGGTTGCATATGACTGATTTAGGGGTAAGCAATGCACCATATCCACAGTTAAAAATGGGACTATCGGCAAAGTTTACCCATGGGGCATCAAGACGGCAATGGGCCGAGGAAATGCAGAATTGGAACGAAGAAGTGGTTTATTCACGGATGAGTCCAGATTCCGGCTAAGTAACTGCGGTGGACGTATAGTCCGTTGCATGGTTCTTGAGCTACGACTACTGAATAGAATAGACAGAGGGAACAATGGGCTATTGCTGCGTTGTCATATCAATAATATTTATTATTACATGAAAATGAAGGAAATTTTATTGCAACGAACTATATCTTGGTTTGGAAGGAAAGAGGTCAGCGAAACACTGATGAATACAGGGTCCCGATCACTGCTTTCAGTGACGACTGTATCTGAGTTTGGGGAGGAGTTTGTTCTAATGGCCTCACATACTTGGTAGTTCTAATCAATGCCACAATTACCCCTGAGAGATGTGATTATCAAACCTATTAAAGTGCCAATTTCAGGTGCAATTGTAGAAAATTTCGTTGTTATTGACAACAATGCCCGCGGCCTCACTGTGCACGCATTGTGACTTTTGTTAGCTAAGAGCTTTACTGAGAGTTTCACTCTTAATGGAGTGGCTTGCCCGATCAGCAGACCTGAGCTGCATAGAACATAATATCTTGGCCGCAATGTTGAGACAATTTAATACCTTGAGGGAACCTGTGGAAACGCTCGACCAGTTAGCGGAAGCTGTCAGACAAATGTGAACAAATTTGGAGTATGCCTGATGGAGTTAGAAGCCCTATTTGTTATCGGGATAGGCCAACGACTCTGGATGACATATTATATTTTTTTGTGAATACTAATCAATTTATTCACTTTTTTATACTTCTAATCATACACTAGTGATGAAATCTCGAATGAAACGATTAAAGTTATGATTCATCTAGCGATTATCAGCTGAGTCTACAAAGTTTTAAAATGCTATGCTTCCCTAATAAAAACTTAACCAGTCTAGTTTTAAGTTAAGTACATATTGATATTGGGACATAAATATTAATTCATGTTTCTTTTTGATTTATTTCAGAGATAATTTTCGTTTTTATTCTATTCCAAGTTTTACTTTTGAGCATAGTTTTTGAAAGGCTTTCTGCTGCCAAAAAAATATTTTCTCCATTGATCCCCCTAGGGGCCGTTCTCTGTCAACAATTTTGGGAGAAAGAGTGTTGCCAGCGCTATTTATGCACCAAAATTAATTTATTCATTTATTTATTTATTTATTTATTTATTTATTTATTTATTTATTCATCATATAAACGGGTTGTACCCAATCGTACATAATATGTACTTAAAATTAAATTTTAAAGAGTGACTTACAAATAAAACAAATTAAAGTAAAACAAAACAAACAAAAAAATAATAATAACAATAAAAACAGTAGAATGGACTTAAACAATTTAAACACACTAAATACTAATTTAACACAGACAAAAGACTAGGACATTTTCCAAATTAATAAAGCTATCAGAAGGGCGGAGTTTGTTTGTTTTTAAGTTTGGACTTTAAGGCATTGAGACTTACGTTAAATAGAACACCATCAAATTAATTTGCTGTTCTCATTATCCTGGTCAGAGGAGAGTTCTGGCCATAGGAAGTTTTGTGAAATTTCAATTCAAACGTTTTACCTTCCCTTAAAGTTCGTGAAGGCACATGAAATTGGATTAATTCAAGTAATTCTGAACAGTCAATGTAATTAGATATAATTTTAAAACATATCAAAGTATCTGACATCTCCCTTCTCCGTTCTATACTGTGCAAATCTATAGTCTTTTCCAATAGTGTATAGCTTAAATTGTCAGATGATAACCCCTTCTTAAAAGCAATATATTTTAAAAACTTCCTCTGTACACTTTTTAACATAGGTTTGAAAGAATGGATTCCAAATGACAGAACATCAAACTTTATATTTGGTCATAGATTTTGCAGGGCTTTCTGCTGCCATAAAAATATTTTTTTCATTGAGCCTCCTACAGGCCGTTTACTCTTGAGAATTTTAGGAAAACAAGTGCTAATTATCAACAAACTTTATATTTGGCCAGTTATGCATAACCTATTCACAGCATTTGTAGGCTCATGCCTTCTGTAAAAACCAAATAAAAAACGTAATTATCTTATTTTACAAAAAAAAAAACTGAAATTGAAACACGAGAACGAGAAAACTTTTAAGAAATTCTTATGTTATGTAAGCAATTAATGAGCACTGTACCCATATAATCATAGATTTAAGTATTGTTATAATAATTCTTCTGTTATTGATATATTAATATAGCAAGGTGTAATATGATTGAAAAGATCAAGAAAATATTCTGCAATTGTCAAGGAAAATGTGCAAAGGACGGTTCTAGAAGGGTTCATAACAATCGCACAGTTTATTATTGAAATTTGCGATAGCCGAGCCGTTCTCATTTTGTTCATTGATAAACTGTGCGATTGTCTTGAACCGTTCTAGAAACGTATTTTTTTCGAACCGGAACAAACCTATTATTAATAGATGCATTTCTCATTGAAGCAAACAAAAGCACTTGGGCAATGCGGCAAATCCTATTGTTCTTTTCATTCTTATTTTAATTTATTTTTCACCCTTAGATAAACCCACCATCAGACACTAGACCTGACAATAATAGGCATCATGTTTCCAATAATTTTTTTTCACCTATTGAATATTATTTTGCTTGCTGATTTTTATTTTTCAATGTGCATTTCTTTTTCTTTGCGTTTCCCTTTTTCTATTCCAATTTTCGAAAATGGAAAATGGGACTAAGTATATTCAAACAAAACCGTTTCTCAGCTCACAAAGGTTCCTGCTCATTTCTCTTTCACTCGGAATTAGTATAAAATATAGTTATCATTTAAAAAAAATTGAGTAGGTAAGCATGGAATTTATTACCTAGGTATTTATGTAAAACAATATTATAAATATGTAGATGCAAAAATCATGTAATTAATGGTTTATGAAAATATAGCTTTAATAAAGATAAGTAAAATGGCAACTGTGACTGGCAGTGTTGCCAGTGTTATCGGCGGAAAGCTGTTTTTAGGCGTTTTATCGTGTTAATACAGTTCAAAATGTGGATTTTTTTTGCTAACCAATGACGTCACGTCACGTTCGCTTCGTTTTGAACCAGGTTGAACCGCATTACCTTGCGTTCGGTATTTTGCTCAAAGTGTAGAGCGAGCTGAGCGGAGCCGTAATCACGTGACCAGCGAGCGAACGGAGCAGTTGAACGCTGTATAAAAGTACCGGAAATTTTAATAAACGAACGCGAATGAGGCTGCACCGAGTACACTTTTTAAATAAACGAACGGTAAAGTCAAGCTCGGAGAACTCAGACCAAAATAACGAACGCACGGTTAGAGAACGAGGCCGAGTTGTATTTGAAACTCTATGATTTGAAACGTTTTTGACCTCCCTTCCTCACAATTTTACAACTTGATTTTGAGGTTGTTTCTTATTATTATTTTTAATTAATAATTAATTTTTGAAAATTTGTGATATAATAAATGGTGATGTTGTAATTCAGAATTTATAAGCATAATGAGCAAAGAATTTATTAATCTATTAGTTGTGGACAACACTGGATCTAATAAAATAATGTGTGAAAGCCAAGCACTCCAGATTCTACTTCTAGGCCTCGTTCTAGGCTGGAATCAAAATACAAAAAATCCCAACCTCACTTTTTCCGGTTTGAAAACAGGCGTTTTCTTGATTGGAAAGCTATGACGTCAATTTTGAAATCGGTTTGAAAACTGTTTCAGAACAGTATGTCAAGGAAAATGCCTTTTGTCTTATAACACATCATAACCTAAAAAAGTTATTGTTTTGTTTTTGTCATTTGCATTGCGGGTTGTGTATTTACTTTGGTATTTATAATAATTTATATGGTAAATAATGGCATTAAAAGGATGTTTTGTGCCAAGCTGTAATAATAACACCAAATACATTGTTTGTGGTTGTGCCCTATGAGGAAGATTTATGGAAAAAATGATTTCTATTACTGGAATAAAACTTTTGCTGCAGCATCGACTGACCTAATGTTTTGTTGTGAGAACCATTTCAATGTAGGTTTTGTTAAGACGCAAATTTTATTTGAATTTTTGTTTATCGAAAATACTAGGCTGAGGATTGCATTTTTTACTTTGGTTTGGATTAGATAGTTCAAAATTTGTTATAACATAAATTGTAAGGTTAAAAAGCTGGCAACACAGCATGTAACAACATTTTGTTGATTGTTGTTGATTGGACAATTGAGATGGCGGTAAAAGCGTAAGCATTTAAAAATTATGCCCCTCTCAACAGCCTACAAAGGTAGCAAAGAATAGGTAAAGAAGGCAAAATATTATCTCTTATTAAATGCATAGTGCAATATATCGATTTTCGTATATTAAAACGTGTTTTAAGAATGTAGGGAACATCCCAATTAGTTCCACCACATATTTATTCACTTATTATGCTATTTTCGAAATCCAAAATAAATGTTTTCAAAAAGTATATTTGTCTTCACTATTTATTTTCAGATTAAATAAACATAATAATCAATATAGGTAGGTAGGTCAGAAAACAGAAACTAGTGGGCGTATACCTAATACCTATTGCATATATTACGCAATTATATAATCAAACAATTATTGTACTTACTAGTTTGTGAATCAACAAGGACATTTAACATTAGGTGACGTCAGAAGTCGCGAAAGCAACACAGGGATGACGTGATGTATATCATCACCATAATGGCGGATGTTTTCATCTAATTTGAACATCCGGCCACACTGCGCCTGGAAGGACGGGAGTTCGTCAGGAGCGCCACACCACACACAGCAACACACACACACTCACCCAACTAGGCAAATAATATTAAACTCCAAAAGCTCACCTTATAAGAAGTAATTTCCTATTCCACTAGAATTAATGTTTAATAAATTCAGTAATAGCGATTGTACCAAAGGCGGTTCAATATCTAAATTCCTTACAGAATGGATGGAACACTGTAAATAAGCACAATCGTATCCTGCCCTGAGAAGTGTATTAAAAGCACTTGAAGGTATTTTCTAACACTAATAATTCCTAGTAAACACTATATGGAAAATAAATAAATAAAAACCGGCTGCGCGTCAGCCTCAATTACCGACCCGCACACCTCTGCCCACTACCCGACGACTGAAACTGACTGAAAAGGAATCGGAATCACTGAATCACCCTAAACCCAAAATACGGTGGATTCAGGGAACAACAAAAGCGCTGTGCGGGGATTACCGTTGCAAGCCAGCACAATCCCTATGCACAGCCTACATTTAGTCGATTTTCGCTTACGGTTCCGATTATATACGACCGCTACGTTCGGTTAGGATCGCCACTTGCACACCAGCATTGATGCAGTAGTAGGCTCGACCGCTCGACGCAGCGCAGTTCTAGGCTGGCTAGGCGCTAGGACGAGGACCTCTGTTCGTCGGTTGTCCGTTTGCATCGTTGCCGATACTCAAGCAGGGGAAACAGATGTGTATCAAGTGAAAAAAGCCGAGGGTCGCCCTTCCTATTACAAAAGGCTCATTGAATTTTCAATAAAACAGGAAAATAAGGAAAGAGCAGGGCTCAGAGAACCTGGGAGAGTACGATCATTTCTTTAGTGGGGTTCAAAAATAATTAGGAACAAAGAAAGGAGTCCCGATTATCATACTCAGAAAATGGATGAAACATTATACTTTCAGCATAAACTAAACGAATACATAAAAAACCTAGACGAAGCCATCAAACAGGGGCGGCTTCTCAATAAGTGCGCTCGTGCGCGCGCACTGCCTCCAAAAACCAAGCAAGAAAATAAAATTAAAATTTTGGAAAGAAAAGAAACTTCAATTAAAAAATACCTACCCAATTTTCTAAATTAGCATAAACATCTACTCATTTTTCTATTTTTAAATTCGCACGAACTCGAACGGAACGAAAGCGCGCCCTGTGCCTGTCTTGTATATTTTTTTCTCCCGCTTGGTTGTGCTGGTGGTCCGGGTGGTCGGTGTGGAATCGTTCGGCGCTCTGGGTAGATGTGTTTTCTCGCTGTGCGATTGATCGGGAATATACGGTAAGTCGCCCGATGAAAGGGATGCGCCGTGCGCTATTTGAATACACACTTCTAATGTTGTTTCCACTCAATCGAGAATATTTCGATGTTTTTTCACCATTTTGGCGGTTTGACAACTCTGTTGTTCGCGTTTTTTTTTTTTAATTATAAATTTCAATATCAATTATGTATTATGGCTAGAATACAAACATTCGAGCCCCATTTAAATACATATATTTTTGTTTTCGATAATTTTTCCTAAAGTAAAGATAAAAAAATTCAACATACAAAATAAATGTAGAACAGGACGTGGCACCGTGGCACCTCCAAAAAATTTTCCAAGAGCGCACAACCACACTAGATTGCCACTGGCCGCCACTGCCATCAAAGGTAAGAATAATATACAAGGACGGAAGGCAATATCCCCTACTAAATGGAGTACCTACTATTGAACCAAAGTATCAGCAAAACCAACGAACTAGAATATAAAACACTATCGTCAGAAGCATGGTCTGTCCGGACCTCTAGTTTAAAAGTCTGGCCACTAAAGGACAGAACCACAAAAAAGCAGGCATGTCAAAAATGGAAGGATAACAAACCAAAGAAATTATGAACGTAAAACACACAAAAGCAGATGATATCAAAGATAAGCAACTGATTTGGTTCGGACAAGTACCAAAAATTGCATAACCAAGAATAACCAAGCAAATCATTGAGTGGAAGGCAACGGGAAGAAGAAGACGCGGCAGACCGAGAGGAAGCTCATATTAAATAATAATATAATATACGTATTGTATAAAATATACAGGGTGTCCGAAAAGTCAACGATAATACTGAAAGGGCTGGTAAAACAACTCATGAACATCCAAAAAAATATAATATGACCTTGGTAAAAAATCGATGGATTTCGAGATATGTATTGGCTACTCTTCCTCTTGGATCATTGGCTAATGATTTTTTATGGAAACTACCCATTATTCTAATAAACAGTTTATTGTAATGACTTACAGTGAAGGATAAACCTAATCAACCTTATGAGATCATTCTAAAAAATTAAACGAATTAAATCCAAGAAAAATAATAATTTTTATGTGACACTCGAAAATCCGATGATCTATTTAATTACTGACAGTCACTATTTCTTATGAATAAAAAGAATTATGGCACAACATTTTACATTGGCACTATTTTGACCATTTTTTCGCGTCAGTGTCGCGTTGTTTACTCAATTGTAATGGAAGAAATGTTAGAAGCTGCCATTCTAGGGGGTGCAAATGATGTTTTTCGGTTGTATCCATCCACAAAACACAAACAAAAAATATAAACATGTGTGAGGTCCTCACACAAGAAAATTTTCAAGTGTGCATTTAACCAATGGAAAATTGTGCATATTCGTTCGAGATTGTGCACATCATGCTTAAAAATTACGTAAGTGACGTCATTAATAGCGCCATCTTTTGGGTTTTACAGAAACAGTGATGATAATGGAAGTAACACGCCATTAGGTTTGTTCCAACCGGCAGTAATTTCCAGTAATATTACTGGTACACATGCGCAATTGTCAAATGCTGTTCCAACCAGTTAAAATTACTAATTTAAAATTAGCGATAATTGACAGTTCGTCGTTCCAACCGGAGTTACGGATAGTAAAATTACGGTTCAAACGATTCTTGCTTGAAAGGAAGAACTGTTGGTTCTAAAATTAGACGCATGCGTACTGAGGTCGAAAACGGGTCAGTGGTTGAACAACAACGAACATAAATAATAAAACATAACCCAGAACCCTTTGAATATAAAACTACAGGAAGGAGCATAACTTCGAATCTGCGCGACCAAAATATGTGGAGGTTGCATATGGCCGACTAGTATTTCCGGTTTGGCAGTGGCGTATATTTATTTAAATATGATTGTCAATATTATGATTCACTCTTTTCGCACTAATCCCAGTGCTTATTATCACTTAAAACCGCTAAAATCCATTAAACCTCCACTTGAATGAGGACACAGCGAACCACCAAAACAAATGATGAGTCCATACTTGGAAGCTCAATATGGCCGTTTCCGTCTCTGCGTTGTCTGTAGTGACAGATAGAAAACGCTCCTTCCTGTAGTTTTATATTCAAAGCCAGAACCTCAGTTTTTTGTTTATTTAAATTATTTATTTGAAAATGACTGCTATAGAAGTTAAGTAATTTTATTTTACTTATTTGTTCTCAAAGTTAATAAATCTGATTTTTGTCTTATATTAAGGTGCGTCCAGACCGGGCCAACGAACGCCAACGAATGAGATTCGGCGATGGAAACCGAATGTTCGTTGGCCTTCGGAAAAACGTCCATAATGCATTCACTATCTGAGCAAACGTTCGTTGGACACGAAACCACAAAAATAGATGGGCGAATGGATGACGAAGTTATTATTGTTGTGCTGCATTTATAATTCTCAAGAAGAAGAAGAAGACAGAGAACCAAAACCAAAGCGCAAACGAAAGTGGTGGATGACATTTTTTTAAAAAAAAAAGCACGTGCATTCACTGCACCGGAGATTTAAACTAAACGCTTTGATCGCTCATTCGTTCGTTGGCCGAACCGTCCACACCGCATTCGCCGATTGCCTCGATTTCTTTTGATGTTACCGACACTCTACGCGGGTTGCAAGCGAAAGCCAACGAACGTTCGTGGGTCTTCGCTAAACCGTCCACACTGAACAAAAATTCTACGAACGAACCCATTCGTTGGCGTTCGTTGGTCCGGTCTGTACGCAGCTTTAGGTTTAGAAGAATTCCTTATTGTGGTGGAAGATGATTCACCTGCAAGTATGGAAGTTATGTTGATTTTGTTATTTTCATCTTGTGTTGTGAGTACTACTAGTTCAAAAAACGTTCAAACAAGTTTTTAAGTTATTTAGTATAATATTACTGTTTTTGATTGCGCAGTCGCATTAGCGCGGTTACTGACGATAATATTACAGTAATATAATTGCAGGTACTCCATAAGATTAACATATTCCATATTTTCTGTAACGTTAATTGTTGATACATAATACTAATAACTATACTCTGCTTACGACAAATAAGACAGACATAAATATTTATACTCATGTGGGGCATCAACAAAAAAAAACTAACCACTAACCCAACAAATTTCAAAAAAAAAAATCACCCCAAATAGATATTTGCTCCTGCCTAATTTAAAGAAAGGTGTGCGAAACACTGTCTCATACTCACAATATGTTTTTTATTTTTAACTTTTCATTAAAAATGATAAAAAAAAATGTTAAGGGATAGTTAAAGGACCAAATTTGGCGATTTAGCTAATACCGGTTTAAGGGAGACATAAAGAGTCCATTAAAGGTGGTGCAAAGCGTCAAAATCGGTAATGGTGCTTTAAGGGACAATTAGCTTAAGGGTCTCATAAGAAAAAGTCGGTGCAAATGGATGTAAGAGTCGGAATCATAACCTGTGGTGCAAACAGCCTACGTCAAGGCGAGAAACGACATGTTGCCTACGTCACAACTGGTGATTTGGCGGGGTGGGGGGCTTCAGATTTGTTCTACACTGGCCTTATGAGGATAGGCTATCCTGTAGAAGTAGTATGAGTAGTTCAGTGGTAGTTGAGTAACCACAACCAAAGTCGAAGGCGAGGTTGCCAAAAGTTTGCTCAAGGAATTTTTTTTTGTTTTGGCTGGATTGTGAAAGAAAATTGTGCATATTTTATGAAGATTGTGCATATGGTGCATATTGAGATCAAATTGTGCATAATATGAACAATTGTGCACCTTGGAACATCCCTTTGTGAGGATAATCCTTATTTTATTGCTGACCGCCACTATTTTTAGTCCCAAATACGCATGCGTAGGTGTCAATAAAGACAAAATAAGAACGTTTATATTGGTAACCGTCGCTATTTGAAGGTGCCATAATTCTCTAATATCTCGAAAACCATCGATTTTTTACCAAGGTCATATTATGTTTTTCTGGATGCTATTGAGTTGAGTGAAATTTTGTTGAACTGAAATGTGGCAGCACTTTGACGACTTGATTCAAGCCGTTATGCCCGAGGACCAAACCAGACTGGAGAACATCCTGGAAAGTCAAAATAATA